AAAAAAAAAAAAAAATTACATCCAATAATGGTGGGATTATTTTATTGATGAATAAAAATCATATAAAGTGCGTTGAGATATTTAAGAATTTAAATACTTCATACAAATAATTAGATTAGTATTGCAATGGAATATGAACATAGAACTTGCGTATCAACATCAAACTTACTCAAGTCCACATTAAACACTAACCAAGAGTAGCAGTTGTTGACTAGCGATAAACAATGTTCATATCAACATTAAAACTTAGTCAAGTCAACAAAACTTGTAGCCAGAAAATTAAAAAGATTCATAGTTTAGTATAATGCACTCACGAGAAAATTATATTTAACTTATGAACGAAAGATATAATTAAATATTCGTTGATTATTTGCATAATAGTGAATACTTGATGATCAATACTCATCAATTTGCACGCAAATACCAAGAACTCGTTGATTCTTGCATGACGAAAAATGATCAATGAAATAGTAGTGAGGTAAATTCCGCGTTCGCCTTGACGTGAATGGTGTTCCAGCTGCTCCGATCAATGTTTACTCCCCGTAAAATGAGGTCGGGGCTTCTCCCCCGTTATACCTTTGGCGTGAGAATCAATGTTCGATTTTAGAGAATATGAAGAGATTATAGTGGAATTCAAATAGTTCGGGTTTCAAGTCGCAATACCTTTTCTCACATTGGGGTATATATATGCACCTGATGACCTGCCCCCGTTCTATGATTAATTGTGCCACGTGTCCCACCTATCCCACTCCCTCACATTTTAGAGTTGTGACCCCCACTCGTCTAGCGGTTGGTTATGTAAATGTTCGTTGTTGGGTGGTTTTCGTCCAACTCATTGCCATTTATTTGGCTAAGTATAGTGTTAGTCGATGGCCTCGTAGTGGTAGATAGCCTATGCGAACGTAGAGAGCCTCATAGAGGTCGACGTCCTCATAGTGGTAGATAGCCTATGTGAACGTAGAGGGTCTCATGGGGGTCGATGGTCACATAATGGTAGACGGCCTATGTGAACGTAGAGAGCCTCATGGAGGTAGACGGCCTCATAGTTAGATGGCCAATGTTGGGGTACTCTACGGAGGGGGGGGGGTGCATATTAAGAAGCCGGCAATCGTGGAGAATTATTAACACCATCTTATATCACTAGCCCCTCTACCTCTTGTCGAAGTCTATCGATAAGGGATAGCCTTTCCATGCCGGTTAATTAATAACTGATTTTTTTTTAAATGACATCTGATGTAAATGGGTTTATCAGTCTAATTGACGTAGAGTGGTAGAAAAATGTACAAATGGCACTTCATAATTGGATTTTAGTTTTGGGGGGAAATTTCTCCCCAAAAAATTCAAAATCCTCCACTATTTAAAGAGGTGTGTACACCTTGTTTCACTTCCTTTTCTCATTTATCAAACTTTTCATCCTTCTTATCCTCTCTCAAGATAACTCCCTCTCCCCTTCTTCCTTCATCTCAATTTTTATCATGTATAAAATATTCATTTCCTCATTTGATGAAAGTTAAAGCAAAGAGGTGAGGGGATCGACCCACCCATTGCTGGATGGGCCGTTCGACGAAAATCTGACTGGTGGACCGACGTCGACCAACAACATTGATCGACGATCAACCAGCTTCATTGGTCGACGCTCGACCAGCACTGCTGGTCGACCGTCGCCCAGCCGCGAGGTTTGTAGATGGTCGACCAGCTCCTCAACTTGTCACAGGGTAATTTCCTTCCAAAATCCTTCATGTGAGGTTGGCCTATTTGTTCCGAGCCTAACGTTTCACCACATTCGACCGAGATTCAAGTTTTTCAATCGATTCCCCCAAAACGACATATTGGGTCAACTAAATGCTTAAACCAAAATATGGAGATAGAGAGAGAGATGTCGTAGGTGAGGAGGTGACTCTTGAAATTCCAACATGTTATAGTCTTTATAATTCCCCCTCCAAATTAGAGAAGTCACTTAAAAAATATGAGTGTGCGGATAGCTATGTTTATAGAGCCCTATGCCTAAAGAAAAGCTTTCGCGAGGTCGCCGTTTATAAGGATATTATGGATAGTGGTTTTTTATTCCCCATCCATCCTTTCTTTGTCTCATTTCAATGAATTTCACCTCCCTTCAAGCAAAATAAATCCCACGCGTAGAGAAAAGAGGTTTATTTTTTATATGTCTACCTTAGCAAAAAAATTCCACTTTCAATGGACTCTCTAGGTATGTGTCCGAGATGCATGAGCTAGGCCAATGCAATTCCTTCCTCTACTTTACCACTAGGGTCTCATTGTGCTTTCCCAAGATTAGAAATTCCAACAGCGGGTGGAAATCCCGATTCTTCTTTGTTCGACCCAATGAGGGTCAATTCCCTTTCAATACCCATTGAAGGCATCCTTTAATTCTCCTTATCAATAGTGAAGTCGAGATCACCCCGCTTCTAAAGGTTCAAATTCAGCAACTGATTAAAATTCCACCTCTTGTTCCCGTCCTTGGGTCAGTTTTGACAATGAGGAACATGTTGCTAGTGGGGCTCGGTCGTCCTACCGGTAGGTCCTTTTACTTTGCTTGTATCTTCATATATGTGAATATCTTTATCTTGTCTTAATTTGTTGGGCTTGATTGTCTCGATTGCTTACACGTAGATATGGATTTTGACTTGGACGAAGTATTGAGGTCCTTGCCCGAGCCTAGGAGCAATGAGGGATTCATCCCTAATGATGGTAAGTTCCGACTTGTTTTGCTTACAGTTTTACTTTTGTGCATCTCATGACTCGTTGTTTTGTAAACTTGATCGACTTTACCTTGTGTGTGTAGGGATGAAGTTCAATTTTTAGGAAACCATGGACTCCTTGGCAGGATACGATTGCAAGAGCGATGATGATTCACCTTCCATTCCGTTGAAAAGGAAGAAAACCAATGACGGGGGAGTACTACGTCGTCCCACCGAGAAGGCACCTCAACCTTTGGTTGAGCCTATTGAAGTTACACCACCACCCGAGGCTCGAGGGGCAGCTCGAGTTGTGTCATGATCGAGCACAAAGGTTCTCCTCTTCCAGATTTACCAATGGATTATCTATAGATAATGATAATAGTTTTACCAACGAAATTTTGTAGGTTTTTTAAAAAAAATTTAGTAACGAGATTTCCAAAGGTCGTAAGACTTTTACCTGTGAAAATTCGGTTGGTAAATATTTTACATTTTACGCACAAGAATTTCATTGGTAAAAGTTTTACCTTTTACCA